GTTGTTTGGCGGGTCCAGGCTGGGGATTCGAACCCGCCACCTTAGGTGTACGTGGCTGGCGCCTTAGCTGGTTGAGCTATAGGCGCCCAGCCAGGAAAGCTTTTCTTAATGAAGTCAATGAAGCCACATACACTGGTTCAAACAAATGAGGGCAGTTAATGCTAGAATCTCTGGGCCAAGAAGTTGCTAAAAAATTCACACAGGATTTCGAGGTGTCAGATTTCTAAGCATCAAGTGGTTGGCTTGAAACATCTATACTGTGAAACAGAATCTCCCGGAAAGTCCATGTGGTGAATCCAATGAAATTCCAGTAGAAGTTGTGGAAGAGTTCATCAAAGAGTTCTTGGACTTCACCAGAGGCTTCAAAGATGATGGAGAATATCCTTAGCAATGACAAGTGTGGACTCTTTTTCAAGGGGATGCCTGACAGGAGCCTTGCCCTGAGGGGTGACAAATGTAAGAGCAGAAAACTTTCCAAGAAGGTTTCACAGTTCTGCTTTGTGCTGGCTCAGCTGGAGAGAAACTAAAGCCCTTGGTGATTGGTAAATTGGCAAAGCTACTCACGTTCAAGAACCTGAAGCCTGAAGATCTCCCTGTCACTTGGAACTCAAACAAATGCTCATGGATGACTGGTGACCTATTTCAGAGTGAATAAGGGGTATCAACCAAGAAATGCAGAAGAAGAAAAGAGTCTCCTCTACTGGCAGTAGACAACTGCCCGGGCCTCTCACGAGTCACAAACATGACACATTTCTGCCGCCAAAAACAACCTCAGGAATCCAACCTGTTGACCAAAGCATCATCAAAACATGTAAAATGCACTACTGAGCCCAGCTCATGCCGTGGGTCGTTACAAAAACACAAACCTGTGGTCCACCTGTGGAAGCAACTTCATCTGTTGCATCATTTAATGTGTTGGGTGCTGTCCTCTGGAGCCCTTCTGCTTGGAATAAAGTTCAGGCAGAAATGATAGAAAAGTATTTTAAGAAAGTTGGATTTGTCACAACTCAAGAGCGCAATGTTTTGGCCCCCTCAGACAGTCCCATCTCTTGTGGCAGAATTTGAATGAGTAGATTTTGCAGGTTTTGTTGCAGTAGATGATGAGATGGCAACTTGTAATGAACTTGACCTAGAAGTAATTCTCCAAGTGATACTGACCAGTGTAAAAATGCATGAAGTAGCTGATGAAGTCGAAGAAGCAAGTGAGGATGACACAGAAATTGCAGAGAATCTAATGGAAGAGGATGTCAGGCATCTGAATGCAGTTGAAGTCATTTGCTGTGGAAAAATGCCCAGGTATGTTGAGTAGTGTAGTCAGAGTTGAGAGTGCTTTCTCCACTTACATTTATATTAAGAATAAGAAACAGATCAAGATTGACTCTTTTTCCAGAAAGAATGATTAAACCATGAGAAAACAATAAATACATTGATTTTGTGTGATTATATATGATTGTACTGTTTTAACTCCGTATGATTTCATAAGATATTATGTAACAAAAGCTGTACAAGAAAGCAAAGTACATGCACATTGTACAGTAGTCCTACTTCCTCATGTTGACCACCTCCATGTGTTGACCAGTTTGTTGTAGTCCCTTGGGTGGTCAACTTACAGAGCTGCTACTGTATGGAACTTCACAGCCCACACTCTTAACTGCTACTCAGTCAACTAAATGAAAGCAAGGGTAATGTTTACACATTATAAAATGGATTTCTGGACATGCTTTGGTCTGTAGGTACAAAACTTCGTGTGTGTGTGCATGTGTGTAATGAATGACCACATGTTTGTTCTATAGATTGCAATCTTGCCTTCTACAAAGCCATATCCAGGTAGGAATATAACTCTCTTTCCTTCCCTTTCTGATACTCATTTTCATGTAAATACTCCCTCTTGCAAGCTCACGTGTATTTTGTGATTGATCACTTGTTTGAGAAGAATCCTTTAGTGTTGACTTTGTCAGAGACTGTTATAGGTCACTGGGATGTAAAGGTGGCTAGAACTTCTGCCTTCCCCATTGGAGATTCCAGTTTACTCTGAGAAGATAGATGTGTAGGCAGATTATTACTCTGTACTGTTGTAAATGTTAATAGAGCAGGATACACCGTGCTGAGGGAACAAAGTGCCAAACTACATGAGGGAAGGGAAACCAGGAGGTGACACTGAAGCAAAAGAATAGACATGGTGAAAGAGCACAGTGTATTCTAGGAATGACATTTGGTTCTCCGTGGCTAAATTGTAGATAACTAGTAAGTTGTATTAGAACACAGGACGAGAAAGGTAATTAATTAGGTATCACATCCTGAGTGGTTTGTATACTAATAATAGCTTGGATTTTATTTTGTGGGTACTAAGGAGCTATTGAAGAATTTTTAGAAGAGAAATGAAATGATGGGATTGGGTTCAATGGGACATAGGTAGCACTCTTAGACGACTATTATGGCAGTCTGGGAAGAGATGGATGATAAGGGTCTGAATGGGTCATGAATTTTGGAAAATATTTGAAAAATATTTGAAAGATACTATAGAAATATTTGTACTACTTTGCAGTTAACAAACCCTTTGACTATGTATTTTCTTATTTGATATTGTCAATAACTCAGAAAAGAAGGTAGTTCAGATAGATTTACATTTACATTACATGAAGAAACTGAGATCTTGCAAGATTGTGACTTAGCCAGGGTTACATAGCTAGTGAGTGTTAGTTTGAGCATGAACCAAAGCATAATCTTTGAGTTCAGGGCTCTTTTTTAATTCCCTTGCACCATCTTCAAGCAGTGCCTAAGTGCACATTAATGTCAGCAGCTTCAGCACAATGGGGTGTGTGTTTTAATTTGGTCACCTAATATTTGTCTTCATCACTTACGTTAAGTGCCTAAAGGACATAGATAGGATTGTTTAATGTCGGTGCGGTGCTGTGCAGGTTCCTTTCTAGACGGTGCTTTTCAGTGAAGGTAGGACATGTGTCAGAACACTTTGGATAGATGAGTATGGCTATGACATATTTATTCCTTTTTTATTGGAAGGTCTTTTGAAAACAGTAGCAGGATGGTATCAGACACTATGCTTACTGTAATCAGTGTTGATGAGTACTTCAAGGATCCTTATTTAAGATGCACTTTTAAATTAATTTCTTACTTATTAGGTGTTATAGATTATGCCTCTACAGTATCTTACCCCCTTTTACCCATAATCTCTAAAAGGATCAGTGTCAGAAAGAATAGAACTGTATCTTTATTTTCTCATCACATCCTCTCTCGAATAGATAATACTTTCATTGCTCTCTTTCCAACTTGGCTTAGAGTCACTGCTGTGATTATAGTTGTTGAACAGTCTTTCAAGTTAAGTTATTAGCATTCTGGTCAAGTAGAAATTGTTGTGAGGCTGCACTTCTTGCCCAGTATAGCTAAGGTAGTTTTACTAAATCCGTTATTAGGGTCAGGCTGTCAGAGGCATATGACAGTTGTAATTCATATAACATCCCTACATTTTGATACTTGAGATTTATAGGAATTAAATCTAAAACTTTAGATTCATACTCCTAATGTTAACCAACAAACTGTCTAGATCAATAAAGCCATATTTGTGCTGCTTAATATTTAAAACAATTACATTGCTTTAGTCTTTATTATTTTTGCCTTACCTGATTAAATTGTGTTAATAAATTCAAAGGAAATTCTAATTAGTACTACACTTGTGTCATAACTGGGAACCATAGTAAGTTAGAGTAGTTTGGAAAGTACTGTAGTCTATTGGATAACAAATGCTGACTAGTAGATTATCAATTCTTTGCCTGGCCCTATTCCAGTTTCACTAATTGTGACTAAAGGTGTGAACCACTTACCAAGTAAGTGCTTCAGTTTCCGTATAAATTGAAACAAACAAACAAACAAAAAACCCAGCAAGTTTTACCTGGATACTACCTAATGCGAAGATTTTTGAAAGATAACAGGTCATTAAAATGCTTTTCACAAATTTATGCTATTTACTAGTTGAAATTTGTAATTAAAAACTCATTGGTTTTAAAAAATACTGTTTTAAAATAGTAATTTACTATGTAAAAATCTGTTGGCTCTTCTAGTATGTTTCATTGCCTAATCTTAGAGTTTTTATTTTTAGAATAGAGTGTATTTAAAGATCACTTATACTGTTGAATTTGACAGGCATGGCAAGAGGCCAATCTCATGGCCCCAAGGGAGATTTTGCAGCGTGTGCAGGTTAAAGGAGGCTTGGAGCTGACTTTCCATGAAGCCCAGGCTATCTTTGTTCATTCCTGTTGAGTGGAGATTTGCTTAAAGTTGACTGTTTTCTTCCTTCTGTACCATCTGATTCCAATCTGCACTTGTCTTTTATAGCTAGAGACGGTTGGATGGCAGCTTAACCTTCAAATGGCTAACTCTGCTCGAGCAAAACTGAAATCTCCTCAAGCTGTGTTACAACTAGGAGTGAGCAGTGAAGATTCAAAGGTAAGAGACGGTATCTTGCTGCCATGATGCATTTTGTCTGTTTGGCTTCACACTTTATTGTTAGCAGAGCTTTTGCTTCTCTGGATTTAATATTTCAGTTAAATTTTTAAAATGATAAATATATTCATAGGTCTTTATTTGGGACAGATTTTGATCTTGGATTTAAATATCACTGTTATTTATCTAAAGAAATAGCTTATCTTGCAAAGTGCCTTTCTTACCAGACATTTCATATTGTCTTCCTTTAAATTCTGCAGTGAAAAAAATTGTTGGAGACAATATAACATTATGATTTTGATGTTTTAGATATTTCTGGATTTTCCTGGTTATTTTGTGTTTTAAGCTGCATACATATGATAGAGAGAATATTGTTTGTTGTATAAGCAAATGCCTAGACTAATACGATGATGACCTGCATTGTATTTGTGTGTGTGTACTGTGTGGGTATGTATTTAAATCCTAGATCTTGCAAAGTAGAATTTTTGGTTAGTTTTATACTATGTGGTGACTTCCCCTTTAGCAGTAATTTCAGAACAACTTGAACGTGATTATCAAAGGTCTAAGATTTGGTATAGAATAGTTTTTCTTACTATGGCATACTGAGAAATAATATATTTCAGATTTATTGAGAGCTATTTATGTTTTGTGTTGTAATGGATTATATTTTTAATATAGAAAGGAGGGAGTGACTTATTTCCCCTCAAAACTTTATCTCATTTTAAGACAAAAGTAAAAATGAGGTTTTATGGGATATTGGAGGAAGAAGAGATTACAATGGACGCATGTGGTAAGAGAAAAATGGAAGAAATGTTAGTATTTATAGCATTGAGGAATAGAAATATTATTACTTTTTTTTTTTTGCAGTTTTTGGCTGGGCTGGGTTTGAACTCACCACCTCTGGTATATGGGGCTGTCACCCTATTCCTTGAGCCACAGGCGCTGCCCAAAATATTATTACTTTTTTATTAGCATTTTCACTGTTATTTATTATATCACTTGCATGTCTTCTGTAAGAACTTAGACCTGTTGACCAGTTTGATGGAAGTATTTTGGATTGCATGTGAAAACCCCACACTGTACCCTAGAAGTGCATTAATGTACATAGTTACCATTCAATTAAAAAAAAAAAAGAACTTAGACCAGTGCCTAGTCCAGGTTACACCATTACAAAATTCTATAGAATTGACTTGTATTTTATATGTAATTTTTATTTTATTATAGCGTCTCTTAAGTATTTTATTTTGTGCATTTTCACTGGAAAGTAATGTAAACTTAGTGGTTGAGAGTCAAACTGATGGGTATATCATGTACAATATTTTGCTCAACTGCCATTCCAAAGAGATGAGTGCAGTGTAGTAAGATACTGTCTGTGTATGTGTGGGAGTGTGTGAGAGAGAGAAAGAGAGATCACATTCTTATAACTTTTATTATAGTATATTGTTATAATTCTATTTCTTTCTTTTTTTTTTTATTAAATCATAGCTATTTACATTAATGCAGTCATGGGGTACAGTGTGCTGGTTTTATATACAATTTGATATATTTTCATCAAACTGGTTAACATAGCCTTCATGGCCTTTTCTTAGTTATTGTGTTAAGACATTTATCTTCTACATTTAGAAAGATTCACATGTACCCTTGTAAGATGCACCATAGGTGTGGTCCCACCAGTCACTTCCCTCCTCCCATCCTCCCCTTCTCTCCCTCTTCCCTTTCCCCATATTCTTGAGCTATAATTGGGTTATAGCTTTCATATGAAAACTATAAATTAGTTTCATAGTAGGGCTGAGTACATTGGATACTTTTTCTTTCATTCTTAAGATACTTTGCTAAGAAGAATTATGTTCCAGCTCCATCCATGTAAACATGGAGGAGGTAAAGTCTCCATCTTTCTTTAAGGCTGCATAATATTCCATGGTGTACATATACCACAATTTATTGAT